AAGTCTTTAAGCCTACACCCTTCAACACACAGCTAAGGGTCAGACAGTCATCTGGAGCAGCAGTCACACTCCTGCCTGATCTGATAGCTTTGCTTTGCAGTGCATTTTGCTGCTGTAGTGCAGAGAGACTGGTCACTACAAATTATGGAAACATAATGAAAGTATGGCAACAGTCCCTCACATGGTGCATGAAACTTACACAACAGCTAAGTTGTTTTGGTGGTCCAGCAGCTTACCAAAAGTCTTTCAGGCTTAATTTAAGACTTTAATTTGTCATTTGTCTACATGCTTTTCAGTTACTTCACATTTTTCTTTTTCTTTTCTTTTTTACCATTTTTTTTAAACATTTATTGTCACTTCTTCTAAATTTTGGAACAGTTTCTATCAAATTGTAATTACTGCCTTTGCACTAATTATTTAAACTATGAGAGTTCTGCGGCACATCTGCAGATTCCTTTGAGTGTTTTTGTTCGGTATTAATATGAGAAGCAATGTGGGCCTTTTCATTTTGCATGATGCAAACGCAACATGTTATTAACTATGAATCAGAGAACCAAACTGGGAACAGAGGCAAGAACTGTCTAAATGATATTCATTAAAACTGGCACATGATTCGCACAAAAACAAGGCCAGTGCAGCCAAAAAGAGACTACTGCGCCGCTGAAATCTGAAGCCCTTTCGCCTTCATGTGGTTGTATATGAAAAACAGGCAAATAGCAAAAAGAGCAAGGGAGGGTGTGTTGGTTAGATGTTAAAGAAATCAAAAACATACATTTTTTTTTAACAGTCAAGAGTTTTGTAGCAGAAGCAATTAAATTAAACCCAAAGAAATCAGATTTTATTCACAGATTTCAAAAACGCAAATGAAAACTGTGCCTCTGTGCTGGTGACCAGAGATGTTGTGGGGTTGACCTTCCAGTCTTTCCATTTGTACGTGATATTATTTGTCAAACTTCAGGTAATTCTACAAATTTGGCAAAAATGTTCACCTCTACTCAAGTATGAGAATCGGAATATCTCTGCCAAAAAAAAAGGAACTTTGACTTAGAGGTGAAATGTTCTTTTTCTTGAAAGGTCACTGTGCCCTCATGAACCATCCAATTGTGAAGGAACTTCACACAAATGGTGCAATATGACAGAATCACTATTCTGATACCAGTTTTAAATCCAAAAGGTCAAAGGTCAGCTTCATGTAGCATCATAATTTTCTGCAGAAACACTTTGCTGGCTATTTTCAAATTTTCAACTCAGGAGCAGAAGGGGACACATTGTGATCACATTTTGTCTGGTTCTGAACTGGTAACACTAATCTTTGGTGCCCACCAATGAAATTCCTTAAAGTTTCCAGCAGGTGACCATATACCACATGGCTGAGAGCAGCCGGCCCGGGTTCGAGTCTGACCTGTGGCCCTTTTCCACATGTCTCCTCCTCTGCTTTCCTGTCAGTCTTCAGAGCATCTATCTAATAAAGCTGAAAAAAGCCAAATATAAAAAACTATTCCCTTACTGCACATATATTTATATACAGACTGTATTATAGGAGTTTAGAGAGATCAGTGTAAACTGCTGCTTTACTGATTGGCACAAGCATTCAACCTCAAGGCACCAATCCTTGTTCAGTATCATCATTAAAGACCTTGATATAGAAAGTGATGGAGAAAAACGCAACAAATAATAAGACTGCATTAATACACTACTCTATTAACTGGTTGTCAACACATCTATTTAACCTCCTAGGACCTGGCGTCCACACATGTGGACATCACATTTTGGGTTATTTAGACCAGAATACTCAATTTTGCTCTATAAGGGCCTGATATCCTCTTACGAGGACATTATACTGCTACTGTTCTATCAAAATTTTAAACGAATATCCTCATATGTGGCGCTTATTTTTCTTAAAAAAAAAAAAGGTAAAAAACAATCTGGTAATTCTTTGTTTTTACATTCATATGCCCCAATATGCCCAAATATCAAAGAGAAATTAAAAATGCATGCCATGGAAGAGTTCGGGTCTTAGGAGGTTAAATGATGTTATCTTTCACCATTGAAATAGACTGAATTGCCTTTATAGGCTGAAGACATTGTAGAAGTCAAACTTTCTCCCAACTTGGCTCGTCTTGCAACAGCCATACTGAGGTCTATTCTTTCATTAGTAAATAATCATAAGGTTTTTCAAATGAAACTGAAGGACTCAAGGACTGTTTTTCAATTGGATGAATAAGACATTCATTCATTCGCTTATTCCCTAAAAGTTACTGATTGCAGACTCCTGCCACCCAAGGGTTTTGCCTATTTTGGATTTGATGCCAAAAATATGAACTCGACGGTGCTACACAGATGAAGTCTGAATATTATTCAAATATATTTGACGTTCTCAAGTGACTTGTTTTATTCAGGCTTGAAGTGTACACTTTCTAGACACATTTACAAAAGTGCTTTAAAAACCCCCCAAAACCCCCCAACTTTTTTGGTTTTTTGCGTAGAAAACAAGCGCAGATCACACAGACTGCACCTCCAGGCAACAGCTCACCTTCACTGTGAGCTGTGCATGAAAATTTTGCATCGTAGCTGTGTGCAGTTTCAAGAAACACGAGTTATTGGTGATCAAGGGGATATTCTGGTGATCAGTCATTAGTGTTTATCATTGCCCCAAAACACAGACGAGCTCTAGAGTCGCATACAAATCCACATGCGCTAATTGAAAAGATAAAAACACGGCTAAAAAGACACAGCAGATAAGGAAAGAAGTCGTTAAATTATTGACAAAAAATAGCAGTGTCTGACTGTTAAAAATCTATTAAGGTCTCCAGAGAAACTGTCTGCCTACTGATATTTGTTTTGCTCCATTTGTTCTGTTTTTATTGCCTAACTACCCCGGGCCAAACCATCACAAGTGTCTAATGGGGGAGGTTGGGGAAGCAGCCAAGTTCAGTCAACACTCTGCTGCCGCCTTTCCAAATTTACATTCAGGAGCCATTTTCCTGGCTACCTAGAATTCAGTCCGAAGAGGTCTCTCTCTCTCTCTCTCTCCTTCCCTGTCTGTCTGTCTGTCACTCGCTCCATCTCTATCACTCACTACCTTATCACAGTCCACTCCATGGTAGAGTAAAAGGAGAGAAGTGGGGATGGAGGCTTTGGAAGGTTTCGAGGGGAGGAAGTGGAAAGAAGGAAAAGGTGAGAGACAGGGAGCGAGAGACTGACAGACTGAGAGCGAGGGGGTGGGGGGTACAGAGAGCTGTAGCTATCTGCTGAAATATTCATGTCGGTGCCAGCAGCTTTTCCATTCCCTGCTCAGCAGGGGGCTGCTGTTTGATACATCCATCGCTCTCTCTCTTTCTGCCTCTCGCTTTGCTCCCCCACCCCCATCCCCTCCCCTCCCACCCTCTGTCTCTCTTAACTAGTGGGGCTAGTAGATAGTAAATGCTCTTTAAGAGATGGAAGGTCGCTCTCGCCGCCAACCTGGAAAAAGCTTGCATTCCTTTTGGACATAAACCAATCTGCAGTGAACAAAACAATCCTTCCAAGCGTAGCTTTCACACCTGTCTTCCAGGAAACAACCACAGTCATGGAAGAAAACACCAATTACATCAAAATGGTGCCGTTTGCTCTGCAGATTATAAACTCCTTTGAGGCAAATTAAGGATTTGTGTCACTGGGCTACATGTGTAAAACTGACTCGACACACTCTGAATGGAAAAGTGTCCCATGATGAGGTTTTACAGGCTAATGCTAGCTGCTACATAGATGAACGATACATTATGACACAAGTGGTCAACTGAAACTGTGCAATCAGAAACCAGACACTCTGATCTGCTTATTTTATTCATAAAAAAGTTTCTAAAAATTTCAGTTAATTTATTTTCATATAATCAAAGCCTTAAGCTTATATATTTATGGCATGGGATTTTATTCAAGCTGCTTTCTCTTACTAGCTGTCTCTTCAATATGATCACTTTTTATGCCGCTCCCGGCAAAAGAAGGCCACGACAATATCTTAAATTAAAATTGTTTTTGACAAATATTAGAAGAGAACTTGAAGTTTCAGCCATTTTAAACAATATCACGGTCCCTTGTTACACCCTCACAAGTAATTAACATCGAGTCGAAAAGGTGAAACGCAGACATGGCTTCCTCCCAGGGATTTTCTAATTAGGGCCGTGCATTTATTATTTCATACCGAGCTCCAATCTCAAATAGCTACTGGCAAGTTGAGCCTCACGTCTCAATTATTTACTGAAAAATTACTGTCAGAGCAGTTTTTACTTTAGCCAAACACATACGGACAGCAGCGCTCACAGGTGAGGAGAGAGTGAAAACTCGAGGTGGGGCCAGTGGGGAAATCAAGTCTTTAAAAGACAAAAACAGAGTGATGGTGCTAAGAGTGCAGAGGTGGATGAGAAAGCTGAGCGCTCTGGTGAATCTCAGACTAACATTTGTGTCAGAAGAATATGTATGAGAAGGAAAAAGGAAAAATGTTAAGATCGAAATGAATTTTGGTAGACAGACGAGTCACATGACAGCCAAACTTTTTGGAAGAATTTAATTAATACAGTGCAAGTCTAATTAGAAATGTTTACTGGCACATGATCCTGTTCTAGAGGCCTTTCCACAGGGAAACACTGATGAAGACAACCCCCCCCAAACCCAGCAGTTACGGTCTCAGAGGGCGAGGTTGTGCCTTTCGGGGAATAACCACATAATTTTATTTAGAACTGATGTCAGGACTGGTGGTTAAACAGGGAGGGGCTGCTTTTATGGTTACACCGGGTATGTGCGTGCGCATATATGTGTGTATGAATGTGTGCATGCATTTCACCATAACATGTGTTGGAGGATGTGGCAGATGTTGCAGAGGCAAGGATTAGTGTGTGTGTGTGTGTGTCTTTAAGTGTGTGTTAAAAATATCTTTCCCACAGCGGGAAGCCACAGTGGCCAATTACAGCGCAGCATCTGGGCTAGCACACAATTATTAGTGCACGTGTGTGAGTGTGCGTGTTTCTGTGCATGTGTGTGTCTGTTTACAGAGGGGTTGTGGAGGTTCAGGCGGAGTTCAGGTTATTCACATCTCAGGATGTAGAGTTTCAGTAAATGGTGCAGCGTGTGTGCAACAGTGGCGCGGCTTTGTGTCACAGCGGCAGAATCTAAACACACACCACCACGAGGACGACAGAGCTGGGGAGAATTAGAGGCACGGAGATGAGTAAATATGGAGAAGCAATGGAGACAATGATGAGAATGGAGACGGCACTGCAAGGAAGTAAGGGCAGGAGAGAAAAACCAAATAAAAGCTCTAACATCTCCAGCAGAGATATGATACATTGCTCTCTTTTCTCTCTTTCTTTTTTTTCCCCTTCCACACTCTCAAAAAAGAATGCAGAGCGAAAATACAAGCCCAGCAACAAAAGGTACAACTCTGCACATTTTTAGTCTGTTGCATAATTCCCTCTGGAGTCAGTGGAAAACTAATTCTGTTTGTTTTATTTTCTCATTTTCAATTAAACCACTCTAAGATTATGATTGCTTTTCAGACTGGATGTTTTGGATGCAGGTAAGCTGGTTGTGGGTCAGACTTCACCTGAATTTCATTCAGATTAATTAAATTGCTCGAGGGGGTTGAAATGCAAGAGCAGTTGCAAAGTTTCTGCCCAGATATAGTAGCAAATTAATATTTTCCTTCAACAAGTCATTTAAAACAAATTATTTATGCTGCTTTACTTCCATTAATTATTGCAGTCATATTGGGTGTTTTTTGAGTACTTAAGCTTAACAACACAAAATCTGATAATAACATGGATAGACTTAATTCTGTCTCCACAGCTAACACTGCCACTAATTAAACAAGATAATATCCAAGTCTAAGGTGATCAGAAACCTCCTAAAAGGAGGGAAGTAATCAATAATCACCTGTAGCCTTGTGGTGTTTCAGGCAGATAAAGGAGAAGCTTTAACAAATTTAACTGAACAACTTTCAAACTAACTAATCACATCAGAGAAACAGCTGATAAAAAGAAATTACTATAATGCTGACTAACTATGTCATATATTTATTGATTACATCCAGTGCATGTGTGCTAGCTTTTCTGGTATTACAAGGCAATCTGTAGAAGATAATAATCCAATAATTAAAATATTTGATAATTTTGCCAAATTCCTACTCACAAAACATGAAAATTAAAATTCATCCAGGCAAAGAAAATCCCATTCATGCTGGTCAGTACATTACAAGCAGTGTATTGTGACAATGTGTTGTTGCAAATGCTAGTAGGGGGACAAATGGGGGTTTGGGATGCAGAGTATTAGGTGAAGGGTAAAAGAGTTAAAGCAGCAAATGGAAGTCGGATAACTACCACAAATACCTTTAGAGCAACAACAGCTGGTCATGTCACCAGTCATGGTTTCCCCATATGTGTGGCTGAGGACAGTGTCCACTCTAATGTGAGCACATTGACAGTAGCTTCCATTATTCAGACATTCAGTGCAGACGCTGTGCTGACAGCACATTTTGCAATGCACACCTTAGCTACAAAGCTTGCTTTCTGCGTGCTGTATATAAAAAAACAGTGGCTCTGTGGTTTCACGACTACATTCACGTGTGTGCTATGAAATGGGGATAAACTCACAGAACTATACTGATGATGCACTAAAATAAAACCGTTTGTGTAAGTTTTTACTCATGTGCACAACAATATTCAAGAAATAACTGAGAGCATAACTTGACATTAGTAAATGACATTCTGATTGTATTTCCATTTTTAATTAACAAACTGAAAGTGAAGTGACCCCAAAGCTATTGTGATAATTAGCTTTTAGACAGCTCACATAGAAAATCCATTGTCCTCAAACAAATACTAATGTGCTTTTGTGCCCACATCTGTCAATCCTACAGTACACACAGAAAAAGCCTCCACTCACTGTTAGTTTTATTGTTGTACTGGCTACATGTAGTCAGTGACTAGCTCAAGGAAGAAAAGAAAAGCTGCCCGGTTGCTTCAGTAAATGTAGATAGACAGAGAGAGTAATGCAGAGTATAGATTGCTGCAGTGGATATATTGCTGTTCGGAGCAGAATGTGCCCAGCAGAGCAGAATTAGTCTATCAACTAGCATAAGATAAAGCTTGAAAATATCCAGTCAGATAATGCACGGTCCTAGATATTGACTGCAGCAGAGCACCACAAAGCATCTTAATGTGAAGGTTATTGGTCGATCTGTTTGCATCGGATGTTGGGGAGAGAGAGCTTGGGAGCCAACCCAATGAACCTCATCCTCCTCTCCCTCTTTTATTCTGTTTCCCAAGAATCTTGTTGACTTGTTATTAATTTTGGCTTCATTTGAAGCCACCTGGTTATTCCAGTCACTTCTCTCCAATCACAGATTCCATTCTGGAGGGAACAGCTGCAGGAGCCAAAAGGCTTACGTACTCTTGTTTTATTTGGACAAAGTAGAGTATAGAACTGTTGGTAACATTTCCATTTAATGACGCTGGTTAGAAACTTTATTTGCTCTCTTTCTAAAACACAAGCATGCCTAAGGGGTGCATGCTTCTGTGGGGAGAAAGCATTCATTTAACCAAATAGTGTTACCTTGACCATACGACACAATAATGACAACAACAACAACAAAAACAAATATGTGTTGAACAAGAAAGCTACACACTCAACATGCAGACAATTAACCAGCCCAGTGAGCCTTGTTGGAGCTCCACCTTGTGCCTTTTGTCTCCGCGCTCTGCTATTTCCTCCGAGGCAAGGTTTTCTGCCTGTCTATGCATAACTACTGCCCCCCTATGGTCAAAGCCGTTCACTCACTTGTTTTACTGCACTGCAGCAGGCCCACACTCAGTGTAGAATAAAACAGGTCTAATTAGATCCTAAACCTTTCTTCTTTCTGAAAGATAAGACTTTAATCAATACAGCTTCAAGATTTCCTGTTTAAAAGCACCTTCTGCTCACTCGTGTACTTATTGCTTGCACATTTCAGTGTTTGTGCTCTACTGTGCTCTATGTGCAGAAGACACAGGAAAGTCTTTTTTTCATTAATTCATTTACAGGAAGTTACTCTCTGATAGGTTTTGTAGTATATTATTGTGCTTACTATGCACTTTACATACTTCATGAGACCACAAGGAATTTGCCACTTGTAGAATTGTAGTTCTTTTTCGGTTTTTCTAAGATACTCCAAGTTGTCTAGTGAACTAACAAACATTTTAACCATTGAGCTAATCCTTGTTGTTATTTTCGTTTGATGAATATTGAATATTTATGAAACAAAAAAAAAAGAATATTTACTTGTGGTTGATCAGTTCAAGCAAAACTTGATTTGTGACATAATGTATCACAACTTAATATATACATTAACATGTCTGATGTCTGGGGATTAAAGTGGGATAAGGCATGTGGGGGAACCCCAAGTTGAAGTGCAGCAGGGGAAAAGAATTATATAGAAATAAGTCACATAACGTGTTCAGTGAGCTCCAGTAGGTTTTTCATCGTGTACAGACTCTGATCTGTGCTGCGACTGCTCGGAAGCTTCCTGTTTTTTGTGGATTGAGTGACCTGAATTCAACAAGATATCAGATGTTACACAAACTATGTGACTAATTTCCCAACTCTAGACAGAATAGAGCATAAAAGGCAGAAATCAGCGAGTGAATCTGCATCAGCATCATCACTTTAAATTTAATTTGCTAAGTTTGTAGCCTAACATTAACCATGAACATCACAGCTGTCCTGCGAGTTCAGCATTGTGCATCACTGTAAACTTCATCACAATGCTGCAGACCAACCAGTTTAGCCTGAACCATCGTGTACTAAAGTGCTTGTTTACTTAGTTTTACAAAAACATCAGAAATACATCATGTTTAGGTCCAATATCTGATTTAAGAACTCTAATAATGAACTAGAACTTTACGAGTAAAGTTCTAGTTTCTAGTTTATAAAATTTTACTTGCTCAGCAGGCCTTAAGTTTGAAAATAATCTCTCACCTTCCTTGCCTGTACTGCCTTCTTACATGTTTCCGCATCTCTCTGTGCAACACATTAACTTTTTTTTCTCTCTCTCTGGAGTCCTTCATTGGAGAACTCATCACATTAACTCATCTGCCTGCCCACCCCCCGTGACTCTGTTCGCAGGCGTAAAACAGACTAGTGGCCATCATCCAAGGAGCCTTCCTGGGTAAACCAGTAATCAACCTCCCTCACGTCAAATTTTAGCCATTAAAGTGGTCTTCCGGTTCGCTTTAGGTCCTGCTGACAAGACTTGTCAGTGCCCCCTCTTTCACCCCCTGCAACCCCCAACCATCAGCCCAGCAACCCATCATAACCCATCACCAGTTCAAGCCCTGGCTCCGACAGTCTCGGTCGTTGTGTCCTTGGGCAAGACACTTCACACTTGCCTACTGGTGGTGGTCAGAGGCCCGGTGGCGCCAGTGTCCGGCAGCCTCGCCTCTGTCAGTGCGCCCCAGGGCAGCTATGGCTACAATGTAGCTTGCCATCACCAGTGTGTGAATGTGTGTGTGAATGGGTGGATGACTGACTGTAGTGTAAGCACTTTGGGGTCCATAGGGACTAAGTAAAGCGCTATACAAATACAGGCCATTTATCATATAGTATCATCAACACAAAGCAGTTATAATCAATATGTCCTGAAACACATTTCGCACAGTTTTACTCTACTCACCTTAAACTATAAGTTATTTATTTCCTTCCAATCTACACCACTTCTTTTTTTTTTTTTACTGGACACGACAATATAACGACAATTAAAACCATAAAAAAGAATCTTACTCAGCACTGGTGTAAACTTTTAAAAAACCCTAACACAGAGAAAAAAAAGTCTTTCTTGAGTCAATCAGATGAGAAGAGACAATGGCGTGTTTGTTTATAGTATTGTTTCATAGATGGGTGTCCTTGCTGGATTCCGGGAAAGGAACAAAACTTCCTCTGCTGCAGTCGCAGTCTCAGTGAAAGCAGACAGGCTCTCGGCGTGAGTGCATCATGGAGAGACCTGTTGCCGTGTCGGTGCGCAGGAGTCCCTCACTACCAGATTACAACACCTCGACCTCCACCTTGGCCTTTGACCAGCATTTCACTACAACTCTCAAAGGAATTCTCCTCCAGGCTGAGATAGTAAGTGTGACTTTTGAGTTTATGATCCTTTATCCTTGTACATTATAAGCACTGCTAAAATCAAGCTAATGACCAGAAGCAAGTGATTATTCATTCAGGAATCCTTGTCAGGAAGGGCGGTAATTTGGATGTTAACAATAGACATCAATAGAAATATAAAGGAACTTACAGTTATGGTAAAAGTTTACATTAATAGCTGTGAAACACACAGGCAGCTAGAGACTAGAGACAGCTTAATAAGTGGTTGTTTTAAGACTCGAAATATACAGACAGGTCTTGAATTATGCTTTAATAATGATTGTTTTTCTAGAAGTTTTTCTATTTACACATTTTAAAGAAAAGTTATATTTCCCTTGAATGTTTTATGTTTCTATGAAAATCGGAAGTTGACCAAAAAACCCCAAGCAAATCAACTCTTCCTCCTTTTTCTCCCTCTTTGTCCCTCTTCCTTTCTAAATCAGCTGAAGGAAAAAGTCAGGATAGCCTTACTCTAAATACAGTCTGGCTGTCTGCCATTCAGAGGCTGGGCACGCCAGAGCTAAAATAATCTGATTTCAAACCATTGCAGTTAGGTTGTTAAGAAAAACCTAACAACTTTCTGGTTGGGTTTATGTTTGCAGATTTAAGAAACTGTTCCGTGACCATACAGATTGGCATATTAGTTGCAATTTTAGATCTAATACTTGCAGATAAAACTTGAAAATTAAACCATAGGAACTCCTCTTTAACTTCAAATCCTAACCTTTGGCTGAGTGCAGCAGGTGCACTGAACCATTTCAGTAACACAACAGGTTATTTTGTTAAGTTCCCGAGCACTAAATGATTTGATTTCAAAGGAAACCAAAACAGCTCACAGTCATGCTTCACACCAGAAAACAGTTTCTTCCTGTGATATGAAACATCCAGCAAGAATCTTTTGTCGTGGAGGGGAAGGGTGGGGATTGGAATAGTGTTGGGAGGAAGGAGATTTAGTCACTCACAACCACAGCACTCACCCACTCACTGAGATGGAGAATTAAAGCGATTAAAGTGACATGAAATACAGTTAGAGTTATGCGGTTTAATCATTTTTGACTTTAAAAAAGCTGAAAGTCTACACATCTTCAATCCACTGTGGTGCTGTAACGAGACAAAACTACAAACGTCATCTTTGGCCAACGAATTATCAGTCCAACCACATGCAATTTCTGGAGACATATCTATATCATACATGAATTCAAAAGATACAGAGAGATTAGAGCTTCAGCCAGTATTGACTCTGTCTGCTCTCCTCCCCTCTCTTCTAGATATGTGGCATGTTAGTGTGGATTCTGGTTGGGGGTACAGACTATTTTCATCTGCCTGCTCTCTGCTGGGTGATGTTTCTTTCCATCTTGTTCTGGATTCTAACAGTTAGCCTGTTTATAATTTACCTCACTGGAGTCCAAAACAGGATACCACAGGTCCCCTGGACCACACTGGTAACTCACAGACACATGCAAATACTGCACAAACAAGCTGCTTTACTCTTTTTGTTAAAAACTATTTTTCCAGGATTTTGCAAATAGTTTTTAAAACCTGTAATTCTCTGTCTTTGTCTCTATCAGTCACTGTGCATTAATTGCATTGCTACTGCACTATATCTTGTGACAGCAGTAGTAGATGCTCTCTCCGTCAACCAGGACGTCAGGGGGCGACACAACTATAACTGCTGGGCAGCATCAGCGGTAAGAGCACCTACTATTTTTCAAGACAAAAAAGAAAGAAAGAATAGCAGAAAGCTATAAATGCAGCATTTCTACAAACACAGCGACTGAGCTACCATGGAGATTATTGGTCTGAAGTCTTGTTTTGTTTTGATAAGACAAAATATACTTTTATATCTCAAATGTTAGAGCTAGATCAGTAAGCATAACTTAAATAAAGTAAATTAAATTAATAAAATATGACAAAATAAGTAAAAAATAGAATAAAACGTGTGTAAAAAGTCAGATATGATACAGTACAATGCATTATTAAGTCGCTTTAAAGATGGCAACTGATTGTAAGTGGTCGCATGCCTGAGCCGAGTCGTCCCAGCAACCATTTCAAAGGCACCAAAATTACAAGTTCATTACACACAACCGCTGTTTTCCCCAGTGTGACTGTAGCATAACTCCAATTTTAATCTGTACGTAACTTGGTGCTCAGCACTGAAACTGATAAGAAAGCTTGACCTGAAATTTTCTTAGTATTTCTCCACCAGAACTTTATATTCCTAAAATGGAAAGATTTTAAGTTTATATGTATGTGGGAACTTAAATGCTAAGGACAACATAATGGGTTGTACTGTAGACTGTTTCTGGGTGCTGTAAATGGAAGTCAAAAAATGTATATATAAAATAAAAATGTATATATATATACATAAATACAAATATTATGTCCAAATCTAACTTCAGCCTGTTTTTGTGTCTGTTTTGTTTCCCCCTTTTTTTCTCATCTCCTCGTTCACCTCTCAGTTCTTTGCATTTCTGACCACACTTTGTTATGCAGGAAGCAGTTATCTGAGCTACCGTACATGGAAAACCACAGAAGAAGAGCAGTAGCGTCATTGCCTCTCATCTTATTGCAACATCCTTCTTTTTCTCTGTCAACACAAACGTTTGTGACTTCTGTGACCAAATTCTAACGAAGTAAAGTTCAGTAGAAAAATGAAAAGCCTGCTGTGACGGAGCAGCCACTTGTTTTCAGCATGTTTAACCTTGTTTGTGTGATGCAGCCATGCAACCAGTGGTCTACATACAAGCAGTTTGAGAAGATAAAGCAGTGAAGGACGTAACATAAAAACCATGTGTACACATGTGTACAACGTGCGTTTGTTCTAATATCCAAAATGCTTTTTATTTTGTGTATTGATTTTTCTCTTGATTGCCACCAATTTCCAAAAAGATCAAGTCAAAAACGTGCTGCTCACAAAACACTGAACATTATACAACTTTATCCTTCAACCATAAAGCATAAATAAAAATAGTAAAAATCATTTGTATAAGCTTTGTGTGATTTTGATTAAAAGTGCAAAATGTCACAGCTTCTTCACTGCTGCAAACGTGCAATTTTTTTTTCACTGATGTCTTTTCATTTAATACCAAAAACCCCCACCTGTCATTAGCACATATTATATATTTAAACTTGGAAACAAACTAAACTCATCTTACATAATGACTGTTCTGTTTGTTCACAGGAAAACAGTAAACTGCAGACCCAATTTCCAAAAAAAAAAGAAAAAAGTGTAATACAGTGCACCCACTTTGCTATTTTCTTAAGAGATTTTTTGTTCGATGTTTAATCAGTTCAGTTTTATTTATATAGCAACAAATCACAAAAACATTAATCAGTGTTTCTGTCTTTCATTAATAACTTCATCTGTATTGCTGCCTTAATAAATGAACAACACTCCCCAGTGAGCTCCCAGGGATCGTAATCCCATTACCACTGAGTCGTCTGCTCAGCAGTCTGAGCTCTGCATCAGGGTGGGGCAGGTAGAAGTTAAAGGAGCCCTGCACTGCAGGACCAAAGGTCAGCACATGATGATGAACATTAGCATTGCACATGTCAACAAAGAGGAAATGTAACCAGTAAATGTACCAGACCTGAGTGGGCTGGCTGACGATCAGAGAGCGCCCTCTGGAGGTCCCAAATATCACCTGATAGATGTAGTTGTTATCAATTTTCCAGAGATCTAAAATGTAGGCAAATAACTAATTTAAAACAGATTAATGATATAGATGATGATGATGCAAGTAGAGTAGAATACAAAGTAATTAAGTTAAAAACTATACACCACAAAAAAATAAAAATCTGTAAATAAATATCACATTAAAGTAGGTTAAATGATTAAAGAACATTTCACATGGTTATAACGTGAAGCTAATATTTTAGCATCAAATGTCTCTGACCTGATCAACGGCCTCTCCATCAAACAGTTCCAGCTCTTGTGGGGTGCCATAGATGCGACCGACCACGTCGGCCCAACTGTTATGGTAGCGGAGCGGAGCTGTGACGCATACGTTACAGAAGAGGAAGAAAGCGCTTTTTCATTTTGACTCTGTTTGAACTACAAGTTTCTTTGGTCTGTCCATTCCCCATATTCTCCCTAAATATATTTTAATTTATTAACAATAACCTGCAAGAATGCAACAGTATTGTATGTATAGTGTGTATGCAAACAAATCACTAACAAATATGACAATTTTACAGTTTCAGAAACGTAGGTATGGCCTCAAAATAGAAATGTCATGTTTTGTGCAAGCCACAAACTAATATTTAAGATCATATAAACAAGAATGAGCGTCCTGTTTGTAATACAAATAGGAGCTCATGGCTGTCACACAGTGGCAGGTTGTTAATCACGAAATGCCTTTTGCTAGTCCTATACAGGGCTCTTTTCTTAAAAGTAATGCAGGATGCTACTCATTTACTCCAAGGAGAAACTACTACTTATTACAGTACTTTCACGTTTCTCTGTAAAATGACCTGAAACGCATTGTCCCATTATTACCAGTAAACAATATAAACCTGTAGGCTGCAGTCTCACACATCAATCCAAATCCCTATCCTTATGAGGACACACATATGATTTTCTCTTAGTACTTAAGTATAAACAAAAAGCTGAAAACAGAAAGCAAAGATGAAAACCAGGACAAAGAAACAAAGCGATCCCCACAGTGATTCTGCTTTAGGGACATGAACAGGTCAAATCAGAGGCAGCAGCCTGACTGTTCATCTGTTTATTATCTTTTGAAGTTCAGGGTCTGGCTGCTGGGTTGGGGTCAGCATTCACTCAGCTTTAACATCACTCTGGGTTCTTGGCTAGTTTAATGTTAGCATGCTGTCTGTGTTAGCAATAACATTAATGTGGAAAGTGTAATTCCTGCTTAAGGAATTCAGGGCAAATCTCATCCAACCCTCAGGCACTGCCACCAAGGTTGTTTAATTTCCTCAGTGGCCTCATCTACAGTAACGAGGGATCATCTCCAGACTCTGCTTCCTCTACAGGAGGTGTGTCAATGAGACTGAGGAGATTCTTGAATAACACAGATGACAGTCAGAACCCATTCCTGACCCAAAGGCACAAAGAGACAACTGTCTCATCCACCAGGCAACACCCAGACATATAGGCAGTGAGCCAAGACAATGTCTGAATCTTTTTCAAATATGCATGAAACAGTAAAGCCAGTCACACTGTCATGACCTGACACTGAACAGAGGAAGACAGAGGACTTAAATACACAGGAGGGTAATTAGTGTGTGAAGTGTGAACACCTGGGGAGACACAGCTGACACAAATGAACATGACGCCACAGGGGGGAATAAAATGAAACAAACTGAACATGGAAACACTAGACTCTTCAAAATAAAACAGAAAACATGGAGAGACATAGACATGACAACACAAGCTTGACAATTAGAACATGAAACCGGGGGATAGACTAACGCACAGGCATACCTGAAAGTAAAACACTGAGGATAAGACAGCTTGAAAGTACTGACATTACTTTGAGTCTGATTCCGTAAAAAGTGACAAAAACATTAGCTCCCGCTCTACACTCTGCATGGGAATAAAACTTTCTACAGCGATAAACTAAGCAATACAGGAACTAATTACTTTTGAAAACAAGTAATCAATAACGTAACAGGATTCGTTTTTGGACAAGTAATCTGTAATTAGTAACTAAATATTTTTTTCAAGTAACTTGACCGACACTGCCAGCTACACAGAACAATATACTTTAAATACTGTCCTTGGCGTTTGCATCTTCAAAGTTTGACAGGAGCTTACACTATGCACTTTTCTTGACTTTACTGAAGCTCCCAAAAAGTAATTATCATATTACTATAAAACTGTAAAAAAGCATAAACATATTGCAAACATCATTACTGACAATACTGTTACTCCACTTGGCACAGACCAAATGCTTTGACTTGAATACAAAAGGAAACAGATTTACTCCACACCTAAACACCAGTTATTTTGGCTGCAGTTACATTTGATCAGACCTAAAAATATCACTCTTAAAAAGATTAAAAACACAGTTACTCAGTTTACTCACGGACAGATAGTTTCCAAGGCAAAAGTGGAAGAAAATAATCCACAGTAGAACTAGCCACGTGATCTGCCATGGGTGACTACAACTGACTGCCAGAAGGTGGCACCGTGGTTCACAAAACCTCACAAACATTTAAACGCTCTCAGACTGAGAGCAAAACACATATATGAGTGTGACTTTACTGTACGACACAATAGTTGATATACTTTGACATTATACTTTTTCCTATGCATATAGTGTCGGGAATGAAATGAAGGAGATGAGTGAAATGACAATTTTCGAGACAATAATAAAATGAAAGTGGCACTGACAAAGATACGTAAGGCAGAAAGCTGGAGGTGGTAGAGTTAAAGATGCTATGATTTTTGTTAAGCGTGGACACAAGAGACTCAGCCAGAGGAAATGCTAATTACTCATGCATGTAATACACATACTGTATACATCCTCTGGCCACTTTATTGGTTGCACTTAATAATGTGTTGCACCGCCTTTTGCCTTCAGAACTGCCTCAATTCTTCATGGCAGAGGTTCAGCGAGGTTCTGGAAACATTCCTCAGAGATTTTGCTCCATATTGACATGATGGCATCACGTCCTTGCTGCAGATTTCTCAGCTGCTCGTCCGAATGGATGCAAGTTTTTTTTTTTTGTCATGTGAATCACTTATCTCCCCAGTAGATGCCCTCATTGAGCTTCTAAACAGAATATTTGCGGCTTAGCACATATCTTCATACATCGATGAGCCGTGTATAATGGTACACAGTAAGGTACAATCTTAAATTATCTGAGCTAATTCAGCTTTGCTTTTGCTATTGTTGCTCATTAGATGCTGATGTCCCACTGCAGAGGACTTATTTGTATCTCATGTGTGCTGAATTTGTTTAAACTACAAAAGCAAAGCTGTTTTTTTATGTAATATTTAAATTCCCTAAGTGACCTTGTTGTTTTGTGACAGGAAGTGACCTGATTTGTGGCTCCTACGGTTATACTGGCATCTTTACTTTGAATATAACTTCTGAGAATCATGAATGTTATGTGCACACTCAGCTTCCAAAGTTTAGCAAAAAATCTCTAAATCCTAGATGTCATCTTACGCATTTTCCTTACTGCTCCTTGGTCATAATGCTACGAGCCCTGGTTCCAGTAATGCTTAGATTTAAGCGTGATCCTTTTCAGTGTGGTCTTGTTGTTCTCTGCGAGCGCTGAGCATATTAATTCAGAAAACAAAAGCCTGGGAAGCTGTCCATGTGGCTTATTTACTGAAAAGCTGCAGAAAACCGGGGCTACGTCCACATTCCCTAAGCCTCTGTAGCAGGAAGGGCACTCACTCTTTTTGAAAATGTTTTGCACATTTTTGTTGAAAGTCAGCTAACCCTCAATGTGAATGTTAAAGCCATAACTGCATTTTAGCCTTGTTGCATTTATCTATAAAAGTGCTCACTGACAACACAACACTGTTCCCTTCACAGTCCTTCTCATATTTAACAAGTTTTGTCTGCAGGCAAACAAATCAGATAAAATTGTGTAGCACTATTCCCTCCAAGAGATTTATCCGGTTGGGTGTGGGATTAAACCTTATCTCAGAAACCGTATCACCAATTTTTCATTAGCCCTTTAATTCCTATAGTATCCTAGGAATGAAGGATACACAGTTTTTGTGAGTTTTTGAGACATCGACATCATCAGTTTCTCCCCCCTGATAAACCTAAATACATTTTTAAAACAATGTCAGACAAATACAGCAAATGCAATACAAGTTAAAACTCATATATGGAAATTAAAATGTAATTAATATTTAAACAAATTTGTCAGGTGGTTCTATAAACTCTCCATTTGCAAAAGACTAGAACTTTCTGGCAATTACTTCAAATTTCAGGCTTTAAGGGATTAATAAGCTCAGACCTCTGGCTCTGCCTCACCTTGTCCTCTGTGATG